CACAGTGAGACTCTGTCTCAAAAAAAAAAAGTGGTATCCTACTATTTAACAGGGTCTGCAAACATTTCACTATCTCTGACACGGACCCTTTGAACCAAATACACTGGTATTGTAGGGAGGCAGGAATAGTTCTAAAAGTAGACTCTGGTCCATTTTTCCTGTTTTCACCCTAGGAGGAGATCTCTTTTCAAAAAGCTAGCCAAGCAGCCTTCTCCGTTACTCCACACCAGCCGGAGTTTCTCCTGCTTGAACCGATCGCTGTCGTCAGGAGAGAGCCTGCCAGGGTCCCCCACGCACAGTGTGTCTCCCAGGTCTCCCACGCCAAGCTATCGCTCCCCGTCCGACTTCCCATCTGGTGAGTGACTTCCCTGGTCTGGACAGCAGAAGAGAGTTGAGAGGAGGCAAAGTCCTGAAAAACATGAAGCTTATTCCACCTTAAGGAAAGCAGGTTGAGGATGTGAATGACACAGACAAGATTGACAGGGAGGTCATAAGATGTAGCTATTCTATAAGGCAAGAAGTCTGGGGCTAAACTTTGATGTGGGGAAGTTTATCTGAAAAGTGTTTATTTCACTAGTTAGAGGCTGAGACAGTTCGCCAGCCTTCACTTGGCCTTACCTAAAACAGTCTGGGCTACAAATGTAGAAATAAAAGGGGACATGACCATGGATGTTCACAGCCTTCTGTTTTCCACCCACAGGTACTAATTCCTCCCAGAGCAGCTCCCCAAGTTCAAGTGCTCCCAATTCCCCAGCGGGGTCAGGGCACATCCGGCCCAGCACCCTCCACGGTCTGGCCCCCAAACTCGGAGGGCAGCGGTACCGCTCCGGAAGGCGTAAGTCGGCTGGCAACATCCCGCTCTCCCCGCTGGCCCGGACACCCTCTCCAACCCCCCAGCCCACCTCTCCTCAGCGGTCCCCATCCCCTCTTTTGGGACACTCCCTCGGCAATTCCAAGATCACACAAGCCTTTCCCAGCAAGATGCACTCCCCTCCCACCATCGTCAGACATGTCGTGAGGCCCAAGAGCGCAGAGCCCCCGAGGTCCCCCCTGCTCAAGCGCGTGCAGTCCGAGGAGAAGCTGTCGCCCTCCTACAGCAGCGACAAGAAGCACCTGTGCTCCCGCAAGCACAGCCTGGAGGTGACCCAGGAGGAGGTGCAGCGGGAGCAGTCCCAGAGGGAGGCCACGCTGCAGAGCCTGGAGGAGAACGTGTGTGACCCGCCGCCCCTGAGCCGCGCCCGGCCGGTGGAGCAAGGCTGCCTGAAACGCCCGGTCTCCCGGAAGCTGGGCCGGCAGGAGTCTGTGGATGAGCTGGACCGGGACAAGATGAAGGCCAAGGTGGTGGTGAAGAAACCGGATGGATTCCCCGACAAACAAGAATCCCACCAGAAATCCCATGGACTTGGGAGTGATTTGGAAAACCTTGCTATCTTTAAGCTAGAAGAGAGAGAAAAGAAAATCTATCCGAAGGCTTTAGAAAGGTCACATCATTTTGAAAACAAGGCGGCCATGCAGGAAGCGCAGTCTCTGGGCAGTCTGCTGAAGGACGCGCTGCACAAGCAGGCCAGCGTGCGCGCCAGCGAGGGCGCGGCGGCGGACAGCGCGGTGGGCGGCTCTGGCCTGGCACACGGGGAGCACAGCCAGGGCGCCGGGGACTTCAAACGGGCCCCTGCTCCTGGCACCCTCCAGGATGGTCTCTGTCACTGTGTCGACAGGTCCCCCTCCGGGAAAGGGGAAAACACGGAGAAGGCCAAGGAACTTCTCCGATGTGAGAAGTTAGACAGCAAGCTGGCCAATATCGATTACCTCCGAAGGAAGATGTCACTTGAAGACAAAGATGACAGCCTTTGCCCTGTGGTGAAGCCCAAGATGACAGCTAGTTCCCACGAATGCCTGCCAGGGAACTCCGTCCGGCCCACGGGTGGGCAGCAGGAGCCCCCTCCAGCCTCTGAGAGCCGAGCCTTTATCAGCAGCACCCACGCAGCCCAGATCAGTGCTGTCTCTTTTGTTCCCCTCAAGGGCTTAGCTGGCCGGGTGGACGGCGGAGCGGAGAAGCCAGGCTTGGTTGCCCCTGAGTCCCCTGTCAGGAAAAGCCCCTCCGAGTACAAGCTGGAAGGCAGGTCTGTTTCATGCCTGAAGCCAATTGAGGGCACTTTGGACATTGCTCTCCTGTCTGGACCTCAGGCCTCCAAGACAGAGCTGCCTTCACCAGAGCCTGCACAGAGTCCCAGCCCAGGTGGTGACGTGGGGCCTTCTGTGCCACCAGCTCTCCCTGGCAGCAGCAAGAAAAAGGGAGAAACTACTAATCCAAGAGAGCCTTCTCCTGCCAGCTTAAAGATGAATAAATCCCATCTGCTCGAGTCTCGGTTTCTGCCCCCAAGCCGGGGTCTCCAGAATTCCCCAGCAGCTCCTCTGCCTGACCCAGAAGTAAAGCGGGACAAAGTTTCCCATCCTGCTGCCAGGAGCCCGGTGACAGTCGTGGGAAATGATCCCCAATGGAGAGAGAGTGGCCCGCCCAAACACCAAGACCACACCACCGACACCAAGCTCCTCCCCTGCCCAGGGCAGAGCCTCCACGGTGCTGGCCCGGCCAGGCCACGTGGCCCACTCCCACCCGAAGGTACCTCTTCCAGGGAGAAGCCAGGCCTGAGGGAATCATCTGAAAGGGGCCCTTCCACAGCCAGAAGCGAGTGGTCTGCTGCAAGGGCTGATGTATGCAGAGGCCCCTCCCTGGAGCCATACCTGCCGGAAACTGCTAAAAGCAGTGACAACTCCAGAAATCTCCCCTCTGTGGGAAGGACCCACCCAGATTTCTCCATGCAGCCCCAGGCCGTGGAGAAAGCATGGGGGCCTTGTGGGAAAACAAGCCACAGAGATGGCCAGGATGAGGTGAGGCTCCTGGCCAGAGAGGATTCTTTGCAGTCAGCTGGGCTTCCTTGTGAGAAGCAGCTGGGCAAAGGGAGAAGCGGCACAGAACCCAAGCCTGAAGCCCCTCCTACCAGGCCATCTCTGCAGCCACCTGGAGTTGACAGTGGGAAAAGCGAAAAGGTCTCCAGTTTCTCATCTTTGCAGAAAGATGGTCCCAAGGACCCCGAAAGGAAAGAACCGCCTCTGCAAAGGCATCTCAGCAGTAACCCTCAGCAACCCCTGACCACCAAAGAACTGCCCAGCTTGGCCTCCTGGCAGCACTGCAGTTCGCCAAGCCATGCTTCCAGCAGAGAGCTGGGGACCAAGCCCAGTGCTTCAGAACCCAGCCCAGGCCCCCCAGACCCTCCCAAGCCTGCTGCTTTGCCCAGTGAAAGCAGCAGCCACAAGCCCCGGCTGGGCCCTGACCCAGGGCCTCCCAAGTCTAAGCATGCAGACAAGTCTCTCTCCTCACAGAAACCAAGCATCGGGGCTGCGAAGGGCAAAGAACCTGTCACTCAGCCGCTCGGTGGCTCTAGCCGAGAGGGGAAGGGCAGCGGTAAGGGTGAGTTGGATGTGTTCCCTGCCATCCCAGGCTCCCCGAACAAAGCTAGTGATGCGATTGGCCAGGGAGAAAGTAGGCCCTCTGTCGCACTGCACACTGAAAGGGGTCCTCCAGACACCGCGCCGAAACCCACCAGTGGTGGGCGGCCGCCGGAGATGCCGGAGAAGCCCGCACATTTGCCGAGGCAAGGACCCCCAGGGATTAGCGAGTCAGTGGAGCAGAAACTTTCCACTGTCAGTGAAACACAAAATCTATCTCCAAAGCACCCCAAACCATCCACTGTGAAAGATTGCCTCCCTTTGTGCAGACAGACAGACAAAAGCCCAAGTCAGGAGGCCACCGCCACTGACAGGAAGTCTGAAGGGAAGAAATGCACAGAAGCACTTTATGGCCCAGCAGACAGCGAGAAGCTCGAGGCCAGCCCTTGCCGCGTGCACGGGGAGACCTGGCTGCAAGGCGCCGAGAGGCCGGCCGCAGCGGTGGGGAAGGGCTTCCCAGAGGCCACAGGGAAAGGGCTCGGTCCCCAGAAACCATTGGCTGAGGCAGGCAAGCCCAGCAGCATGAAACGGTCACCCTCGGCCACGGGGCAGAGTTCTTTGCGATCAGCTGCTCTCCTGGAAAAGTCTCTGAGCTATTCCTCCAGCTTTCCTGAAGCCAGGCCAGCAGTTCGAGAGGCCCTCACAACCAACGGCGACACCTCTTCTGCCAAGGCCAATGGGGGCACAGTTGAGCCCCCAGCCCCCAGCAATAGGGACCATAGGAAGTGTCAGTTGGCGGGTGATGGCAGAACCCAAATGACAAAGAGTGACTCTTTGCCATCCTTCCGGATCTCCAGCACCACTCCGGAGTCACACCACCCTGACCCAAACGTGCCCGGCGGAGCCAGCCACCGGGACAGGGCGCTCTCTGTAACTGCCTCCGCAGGAGAAACCAAAGGGAAGGAGCCTCCCCCGGCTAGGAAACAGAATGCGGGCAGAGAAGTGACCAAGCCCTTGCCAGCCCCAAACACTGACCGCCCCATCGCCCTTTCTTCTGAGAAGGACTTTGTGGTACGGCAGAGGCGGGGGAAAGAGAGTTTGCGCAGCAGCCCTCACAAAAAGGCCTCGTAACGGGGCAGGCCCTGGGGCTGGACTGTGGGGACCCGGCCTGAATGCGCGACTGTGTCTTGACTACCTTTCGAAACCAGCACTGTGTGGGGACGTCCGCCAGGCAGAGCGCGGAGCCTCATTGAGGAAGGAGAGAGAGAGACGGAAAGAGGGGACCTTCTTCCAGATGCCTTCCCAGTTGTAACCAGTAAAACTGTTACCAGATAGTGTTTGTACGGGGGAAAAAAAATCACTTTACAGTTGAGGGTTGTTGAGGAAAAAGATTTTCTCTGTAAATAAATAGCAACGTGTTTGGTTTGGGATGTAGAGTCTATACCTTGCTGCTGATTGCGTCGTTTACTACAGCTTTTTTTTTTTTTTAAACAAGATTTTTGCTTTACCGTTTATCATAATGTAATAGTGAAGCAAAATGGTCAGAACTGGGTGTATGTAAAAACATTGATACACTCCTATTCGTGTATATACACATCCACCCACATATTTTGGCCTGTGGTTTAAGAGAATATTTCAAGTTTCCATTTTTATGAACTAAAACACTCTAAGTGAAGTTAAAGATGGAAGAAAGCCCTAAATACGGTAGATTGCGAGTTTTTATGTGTATTTTTAACCAGAGTTTCTGATAGTACTATATCTGGCTACCTGTGTTTCCAGATCTAAGGCAAGAACTCCTGTAGTCACTGCGTTGGGAATCCTCCTCCATTAGGAAAGGCCGGGACAAATGGAGCTGGCCGTTTTCATTTCACCATCGTCCTAATGGACATTCTGATCCTGGGTCCAACTGTCTGAAAGGCTGGTTGTCCTTGTCTGTGGATGTGTATGTCTGGTCTTCACCTGAAGTAGAGCAGGGACTATAAACACACATCAACGTTATTTCTATTCTCTTTCTTTCCCTTCTTTTCAAGCTGTTAAACTCAGGCCTTTATGCTGTGAGTGAGTAGTCCAAGAAGCACACATTTTGTAGAAGTCCAGAACTAGCCCTGCTCTTGAATTAAAAGGAAAATTGCTGGCTGCACACAAATCTGCTAGTACTTAGGTCAAGTAATAAGCATCAGGCATTGGAAGAGGTTCTAAATTTGCTTTTGTGAGGAAAGGAACGGGGGCGGGGGGATTTTGGCATCATAGCATATATATTACGGAATAATCAGGACATCAGATACATTTTAATACATAGCTGGGGCCTTATGTTGTAGATGAAGCTTGCTGTTTTTAGCAAGTTCCTGGGTTTCACATTCATTTCTGATGCATCGAGTAGCTCCATACATTTCATAACATCTCTTTATTTGTATGCAAAAAAAAATGTAATTAATAAAGAGCAGCATTTTTGTAACAGAGACTTGGAGCTATTTGGTGCTTGAATGTGACCATCCTTTTTACTTTTGCTAAGCCTTATTTAAATTTTGTATACTGTGGAATATGTAGAATTTGTCAAATCATTTTAGTGCTGAAGGTTTCTGATTTGGGGGTGTTTTTTTTTTTGCAGGTTTTTTTTTTTTTGGTGGCTTGTATTGTAATATGGCACTTGCTGACATAAGTACTAAGGCACTAAGAGAAAATACAGATAAGTATTCATTAGATGCATGGGAACCATAGTAGGAATTTTTTGTTTTATTTTTTAAGAGAAAAAAATTACCAACAAATAACTAATTCAGCACCCAAACCTCCTTGGGGATGTCTTAGTATCTTTGGGCTATAAAATTGTTTATCTAAGCACAGCATAATATACAGCCCTGTGGATTGTAAATCTTCTAGGGAGGCTATAAACTCCACCTCGAAAACAAAAGCATAACTTAACCAACTACTCAGTTGTCCTTCATTGTAAACTGAGTTGGTAATGGGCAAAAACAAACAGACAAAAAAAAAAGAAAAATGTCTCTTCTTTGCCCCTAATTTTATTCTATTCCACATCACTACATTGTAAAACTGTAGAAGAAACACATATTTTACAAGAACTTAAATGGATTTCAGAAGTGTTCTCAGCATTTATAATACATATCTGTGTTTGGCGGTTGTCATAATCTAATCCTTCTACACTCAGACATCGAGACAGGTCTATCGGGGAGGTAGTTCATGGTTTACAGCCTTTTTTTTTTTTTTTTTTTTTAACTGTCCTGTTTCCTTTAAAGCACAACTAGCTGTTTACAAATGATATTTTTATGTATATTTTGTATAGTGTGTTATCATTTTTGCCAAATATGTTTTTCATTATGGATGAGTAAAGAGTACTTAAGGTTGCATTCATGTAATACCTGTTGTTGTAAACCTCTCCAATCAGCTGGTAGAAATTCTCCTAGTTGTGTTCTGTTTGGTCAGTCTCTGTGTGATTGTAAGATGTGCTCCTCGGTAGTACTCCCAGCTATAGATTTACCAGCTTAAAAGTTTGTTAGGATCTGTGCAATAAAGTGTTTGCAGTCTTATTTTCTCTAAGAAATTCCTTATGGATGTCATAATTGTTGTATATTGAACAAAATATTTATACTTATGCAGTTGCATAACATTGAAATAAAAATTTAGCATGAAAGATAATGACTAAGTGTTTTCCAATATGCACCTATATGTACCACCTCCAAAAATATTAGTGATTATCACTCTATGCTATGGAAAGTAGGGGTTTTTGCAAATTGCTTTTTGCTGAGTGTAACAGTTTGCCTTGTGTTTTGAACTTACGCTCAATCCATTCTTCAGGATTAAGTCCTCCTCTCATTCCTTCCTATTTTCTCTCCCAATCTTCTTCCTTGCCTGCAGAACTTGCCAGCATCCACACGCACACTCACCATCTTCCTGCAGCCTCCAGGGAAGAGATGCCCTATCTGTGGGATACCACCTCCTCTGCTCTCCCAAGATCTCCCTCACTGTTCTCTCTTCCCTCTCTCCTCTTTCCTTCCAGAAAACCCTTTCCTTAACCTTACCTTTTCCCTCCTGTCCCTCCTCAGCTGAGCTCCCAAAGGAATAATCTGCACTTGATATTTTCAGGTCTGTGTATCACTCCTCACCCCATCAGAATCTGGCTTCTGTCCCCTGTCGTATCAGCATTGCTCTGACGAAGGTCACTAATAACATACGGCTGAATCCAAAGCCCACTTTTCAAGAGGTCACTTAGTAGACCATCTCCTTGAGTACCAGTCTGCCCTGATGCTGCTCTCTCCAAGTTCTCTCCAGCCTGTCTTTGTCTCTTGAAAATTTCTTCTTCCTCCTCTGAGTGTTGGTCTTTCCCAGGGCTCATTCTGGGGCTTCTGGGTGTTTCCCTCTCACCCACTCCTTGGCTTTTCCTTTCCAGGGACATTTCCACTCGGCTCCTGCTCAGGCACTTCACACTCTTAAGTGTCCAAAACCTGCTCATTCTCTTCTGTGCCTCTTAAGCACACTGTATTCCCTGTCTTCCCTCCAAGCCAGATCCTGGCTTTTTGCCTTAACTCTTCTTTCTCTCTTTACACCTAAAAAAAAAAAAAAATCGCCAAGTCCCACCAAGTTCGCAAAATGCTCTTCTGTGCAATCCCTGTCCCCCCACTGTTCTGCTGCCAGCAGCCTTAGTTTCACGTCTGTCATAGTCTCTTTCTGGATTACGCCCACTCTTACCCCTTCCAGTCGGTTCTCTGTCCTCGCAGCGATGTTTCTCAAATGGAGGCGCACCACGTCACTACCCTGCTTTGAACCTTCACATAGCTCCCATGTTCTTTGGGATGAAGGCCGGCTCCTTAAATGTGTTCTTAGCTTCAGTGACACCAGCTCAGCACGCACGCGGGGCCTGGGCATCTGGAGGAGGCCTTCCGTGCAGGATGGGCTGGCCCGTGGACCCACCGTCTGCGCTTCCCTGTATACCCGTCTCACTGTGTTGTTTTGGAATTATCTATTTCTACATGTGGTATCTTCTTTACTAGACTGCAAGATCCCCGGGAGCATGTAAGAGCTGTCAATAAATATTTGCTGAACTGAATCGAACAGGAAGTGTTAGTGGGAGCTACTATTTGTGATACACTTCCAGGAGCCAGCTACCACACTGTACGTCTTCTCAATCTCCATGCCCTTTGAACGATGCGTTGCTTCATTTTATAAATTAGGAAACCAAGACTTAGGTTAAGTGACTAACCCTCATGATAGGCAGGACTGAGACTTGAGCTCTCGAGCAATCTGACAGGACAGCCCACACATTAACCTCCACCATTAGACATGACTCGCCACCCTCCACCCTGTTTTACTGCAATATAAGCTACAAGATGAAAGGGAACTGATTGTGGCATAATGATTTTCAGTGCCTGCATGATATAGTTTTCCCTGCTTAGAGGAACTCTAAGAATCACATTTATAAAAAGTAATTATGGAAATGATCATTTTAATGGGACTTGGATATCATGCTATGCAGAAAAGTGAGTCTTCACCATGAAAGAAAAAGCCCACAAAGGTTATTAAGCACACATATCACAGAGCCAATAACAGCCACGGCCACAGCATTAGCTGGTAAATAACCAATTTAGAGCAAATACATGAACTTTTTAATGAAAACAAGTGAAAGGTTGAAGTTTCAAAGGTATTTGTCGTGGTCTAGACTAGGTAAAACCACTGAGGTGATTGAAGGGCAGACAACTGGACAGTCGTGCCCTTGTATGTCTTGCCACTCAGGGGCATAATTTCTTGCATCATATTTTCAGCATTCACATTCTTTTACCTTACTTGGGGTATTTTTAATGTAAATGTGGTTAAGTGTTTGGGGGTATAATATTTCCCTAATGAACTGTGAGGGCTACATCTCTTAAGCCCAAGGCTTTTTTTTTTTTTTTTTTTGAGATGGCATCTCACGATGTTGCCCAGCCTGGCCCTGAACTCCTGGGCTCAAGCAATCCTCCTGCCTCGGCATCCTGAGTAGCTGGGATTACTGGTGTGCGTCTGGCTCCTCAAGGCATTATTTTTAATCTCTATAACAGAATGTAAGTACAATGGGATGCAGCCTACAGAAATTAAGGTTCTCTCTTTGGTATGGAGATGGGGTCGGGGTGGGGGTGAGAGGATGAGACTACCAAGAGGACCAGAGAGTTCATGAACTGGAGATAGAATTAAGGTAAGGAGAAATTACTTCTTAAGAAAAAAAAATCAGTGCTAACCCACCCATGTGGAGCAATCACACTGGGTACTGAACAACCAAGCACTTAAAAGGGGAGAAAAGAGATGGGTTTAATGACCTCAGATGGAGCAGCCCATCTCAGCTCTAATGTGCACACGAATCA